TTCCAGCCTTTTCTGCTTATGTGGTGCTGAGGAATTGAACCCAGGGCCTCATGCATGCAAGGCAAGCGCTCTACCACTGAGCCACCTTCCCAGGCCCAGGTTCTTATTTCTTTTGGACAAAAGGAAGGTGTAAAACAGGTTCTTTAACAGTACTCAATGAATTGCTAACATTTTGCGTGTGACCACTAGAAGCTTCCAGAGTAGAAGTGCCTAAGCCTTAGATGCCAAGAAATTTTGTTCTGTACATGCTGAATCTGTGACCTCAATTCCTCCCGCCCCCCAATCATTTGCTTGAACTCAGGGCCTTGGCGCCATCCTTGAGCTCTTTTGCTCAAGGCTAACGCTCTACCATTTTGAACATAGCAGCATTTTTCTCACGGACTTTCCTGCCTAGGCTGGCTATGAACCACAATCCTCAGATTTCAGCCTCCTAAGCAGTTAGGATTACAGGCGTAAGTTACCAGCTAAAGTTTACTTTTTTGGTTGGTTGTGGGGCTTGAAACTCAGCGCCTAGGCACTGTCCCTGAGCTTTTTTTGGTTGGTTGTGGGGCTTGAAACTCAGCGCCTAGGCACTGTCCCTGCGCTTTTCTGCTCAAGGCAAAAGCATTTTACCATTTTGAGCCCCAGCACCACTTCCCAGTCATCCTAACTCTTTCGCAGGAAGACAAACACAACTCTGAGCATCATGAACCCCAAGAACCTAGGTATTCTCTGGAAAAGCATGTGAGTCAGATAGCTTCCCCAGCTTAGGGTAGGATGGTGTGGGCCTATGTGGCAATTCAAACCAATCTTTTTTTTTTTTTTTTTTGGGTCCGGTTGTGGGGCCTGAACTCTGGGCCTGGGCGCTGTCCCTCAGCTCTTCAGCTCAAGACTAGTGCTCTGCCACTTGAGCCACAGCGCCACTTCCGGCTTTTTTCTTTTTGCTTATGTGGTGCTGAGGAATCGAACCCAGGGCCTCATGCATGCAAGGCAAGTGCTCTACCACTGAGCCACCTTCCCAGCCCTCACACCAATCTTTAGAGGACAAATGGAATCAAGTTGCTCTCATCATCCTCATGAAATTTCAAGCTAGAAGAACAACAAGGCGGGCAGCCAGGTCCCCTTCTTCGAAAAAAGTACACAGTAACACACCCAGGCCGACTTCAGGCCTGCTTGGCTCTCCCAGGACAGGCCTTTACCTGAGTCCCTGGTCTGTCTCCCCGTAGTCATCAAGGTATGGAGGAGAGTAAAAACAGCCTTTGGTTTTGCCGGCTAAAAATAGCACCTGACATTCACGAACTCTGTAGAGAGATTCATATAATTATACATTGGTAACTAAGATTTATACACAGTTCCAAATGGGATGAGGTCTTATATATTCAGTGAGAACTTACTGTTTAGGAAATGATCGGGGCCCAGAGGGACCCTGTGTTGACCAAGAAGAGAGTCTGAGGAGTTCAGACTCAGGTCACTTCTATTTCGAACCCTAACCATCTCAACCACACATGCCACTAGGTCCCATCATGCCCAGTTCTCCCTTGTGTACACCATCCCAGAGACCCCAGTCTGTCTTGAACAGGGCAGGCACCCCACACCAGCAACTGGGTGCTAGCGGTCCTCCCTGGATGCTGCCTTCCTTTCTTTACTCTTCATTGGAAGATCATATTCTTAGGGAGTTATCCCCACATCTGAAGTTCGACTCCTTGGTTCCTATTTCATAAGCACCTCTCTGTCTGACCCCTCTTTTCCAACACACATCCCTGCCTAAATTCTTCTCAGTCTTTTTCTTATATTTGTCTCTCATTTGAAAATGAGCTCTAAGGGCAGAGGATGAAATTCAAGGCCACGTGAATGCTAAATATTCAACTACCACTAAGCTGCAGCCCCGACCTCAGGGTGGGGCGTCTGGTCTACTTGGCAAATATCCCACTCTCAGTGCTTACTACACAGAAATTCCTATCTGTTGTTGTGCACTGTTGAACCAGCAAACACACGCCAGTTTGTGGCGTATGGGTAGAGGCAAAAATCTACAAGCCAGAACATGACAGAAGGGGAGAAAGGAGTCCAGCTGGAAGTCTCCCATTAGAGGAGACATGAAGGAAACAGAACAGAATGATCAGCTGCGGACAGAGGTGGGGGAAGAAATGACAATGGACAGAAACCAAATGTAAGACGTTAGAAATGAATCATGTTCTACAAGCAAGCATGAAGAACAGTCTCCAAAGTCTTTGCAATGCTGTCATTTCTTGTGTCAATTGTTCAAGAGGAACAAACTGAGCAGAGCCATAGTTAAGAAGCCCCCGAAGGTCCTTACCTCAGGAAGATGCCAGCCCCAGAGCCACAGGAGTACGTGTGAGCTGTGCAGGCGCCTACGTCCTCCCCTTCCAACTCTGTCTGGCAGCAGTAGCTCTGGGAACACAGAAGACTTCCACACACAAGGCACAGAGTTGGGGCTCTGCTCTTATCGCCACCTGATTTTGGACACCTCCATGGGACAAAGATAACAAGTTATTGCTCCAAAGAAGGGCTGGAGACCTTATGGTGGAAAACCACCCTGAAAATAACCACATTATTAAGAAGAGCCAAATACATACACTGTGTGGTCCCATAATAGAGTCTGGGGAACATCTCATTCGCACACATCTAAACCACATGAGAACATCCAAGAAATCAACAACTAATGAAAATATAAACGGTGGATGTAATGAAACACCAGGTAGCAGCAAAAGCAAAACTTAAAGCTTCTATGATCTAGCTAAATCTCAGAAATAATGCGGTGAAACACAGGTATAGAGCATGTATGGTTAAATGCCACTTAAGTAAAACAGTAACATGCTCCATAGGAAGATAACCTACGAGTTAACATCTAGAAGAACAGGAATGCCCATCATGCCACTTAGAGCAGTGGTTGTCTGCAACAGAGAGGAGATGCCCAGCGACATCAACTGTCTAGGTCATGTTCCATTTCTTACAGTGTTATATTCTTCCTAATGTCACTTGTGCACTGAACAGTTAAACATACATTAAAAGATATTCTTATTACTTTAAAAGTGCAATTATTTCTAGGCGTCAGTGGCTCATGCCTGTAATCCTAGTTATTCAGGAGGCTGAGATCTAAGGATTGTGGTTCAAAGCCAGCGTCCAGGCCCTGAGTTCAAGCCCCATGACTGACAAAAAAAGAAAAAAAAAAAAAAACAGCAAGAAAGCAAGAAAAAAAAGGGCAATTGTTACTAAGATAAGCCTTCTTCATTCATCAAACTTTTTTTTTTTTTGCCATTCCTGGGCACTGTCCCTGCTGAGCTTCTTTTGCTCAAGGCTAGCCTTCTACCACTTTGAGCCACAGTGCCATTTCCAGCCTTTTCTGCTTATGTGGTGTTGAGGAATGGAACCCAGGGCCTCAAGCATGCGAGGCAAGCGCTCACCACCGAGCCACCTTCCCAGCCCTCATTCATGAAAGTTGCCCCATGACCTCTCATCCTGTACCGTGCTCTGAAACATGGTGGAGAATGATGTTTTCACAAGGCAGTAACAGGAAGTACTGCTACTTTAGACATTTCCTGACCCAAACAAAACAAAGAACCATCACCAAATCCCTCAACTTACGAGAAATTGGATGCTTGATTAATGAGGCTGCTGTAATCCTCCGGAAGGTCTATCAGTTTATTAGATTCTCTTGGATAGCTACAAGATAAAAGTAAAAATTCAAAGAACTCCATTAATATGAATTTTTTTTGGCTGGATGTGGGGCCTGAACTGTGGGCCTGGGCACTGTCCCTCAGCTCTTCAGCTCAAGGCTAGCGTTCTACCACTTGAGCCACAGTACCACTTCCAGCTTTTTCTGCTTATGTGGTGCTGAGGAATGGAACCCAGGGCCTCATGCATGCAAGGCAAGCACTCTACCACTGAGCCACCTTCCCAGCCCATTAATATGAAATACAAAAGCTGACTCTAAGATCACGTGCTAGCATGTGGTATGAGCTAGAATAAACACCAAAGACTGCACTCACAGTAAGTGGTAAGGACAGCAGCAATGGTGCAGACCCCTGACCCTCTTAAACTAGCTCATTAGCTACAGGAAGAAGAGGAGGGGCAGATGAGGATATTCATTCTTAGCTGTTACCTAGACCACAGAACTCGAGGAATCGTAGATAGGATATGTTTACTAGGGGTGATCTAAAAGTGAGATGAGCTGGAACAGAAGACAGTAGAATAGACATATTGTTTTTAGAGTTGGCCAGCCATGTTGATAATGTGACTAGCTCATTCAGAAAAATGTTAGGCCCAAATCCAAGGTTTGAGGTCCACTGTCAGTGTGAGGCACTTCGCATGCACCTGCCTGCTCAGCACAGACTGCCGCTGACAGCCAGGAGACAGTAGCTCCTAACCATACCAGAGTCAACTAAGAGTCAGAACACCAACTGTAGGAAAAATAGATTTGGGAGGTGGTGGCTTTAGTATTGTATTCTCAAGTTAAGAACAACTATTCAAGATTTTTCTGACTACAAGATTCAAATCGACAATATTTAACTGCTTTGTGAAAATTGAAATTTCATGTTCAGCTAATAAAATTAGTGTTGTAATTTCTGGATGTATGAAAGCAGACCAAGTAGATAAATCTCTGCAGCATTTTTCATTTGTTGATACTGAGGTTTAAACTCATGGCTTGGCTTTACTCATACTTTAAACTCATACTTGCTTGGCTTGCTCATGGATGGTACTTTATCATCTGAGCCATGTCTTTAGCCTAGCATTTTGATGGTTAACTGGAGGTTTCTCAGGTATTTCTGCCTAGGCTGGCTTCAAACTGCTATCTTGCAGGTCTCGATCTCTTGAGAAGCTAGGATTGCAGGTGTGAGCCACTGCACCCAACTTATCCTCTAGTTTTCTTAAGGAAGTTTGTACTCATTGTGTTACCCCCAACAGGACCCTTTACTACAGAATCAGGGTAGAATACAAGAAATAAATGGGCTGGGTAGGTGGCTCAGTGTTAGAGTGCTTGCCTTGCATACATGAGGCCCTGGGTTCCATTCCTCAGCATTATTACATAAGCAGAAAAAGCCGGAAGTGGTGCTGTGGCTCAAGTGGTAGAGCTCTTGCCTTGAGCTGAATAGCTGAGGGACAGTGCCCAAGCCCAGAGTTCAAGCCCCACCACCACCACCACCAACAAAAAATAAACGAAGAAAATAATTTGGCATAATTTGATACTGTTCAAAGGTAGTTACTGAGAGAATAAAAAAAGAACTAAGAAAAACCTAGATGAGGAACTATACTATTTATTTTTTGACAGTTGTAGGGCTTGAACTCTAGGCCTGGATGCTGTCCCTCAGCTCTTCAGCTTGAGGTGAGCGCTCTACCACTTGAGCCACAGTACCACTTCCATTTTTCAAGTGGTTTATTGGAGATAAGAGTCTCATGGAGGCTCTCAGCATGGCTCAGTGGTAGAGTGCTTGCCTTTCATGCATGAGGCCCTGGGTTTAATTCCTCAGCACCATGTAAGAAAAAGCTGGAAGTGGCACCATGGCTCAAGTGATAGAGCACTCACCTTGAGCTGAAGAGCTCAGGACAGTACCCAGGCCCAGAGTTCAAGCCCCACAACCAACAACAACAACAACAATCTCATGGATTTTCCTGCCTGGACTGGCTTTTAATATGATCCTCAGATCTTCCTTAGTAGCTAGGATTACACGCATAAGCCACCAGTGCTTGGCTAGAACTATACTACTTAAAGCATCCCAAAATATAATAAAACTTGCTTCCTTTAAAAATGATACACTAGGGGGCTGGGAAGGTGGCTCAGTGGTAGAGCGCTAGCCTTGAGCTGAAGAGCTGAGGGACAGCACCCAGGCCCAGAGTTCAGGCCTCACAACCGGACCCAAAAAAAAAAAAAATACACTAGGGGCTGGGAAGGTGGCTCAGTGGTAGAGGGCTTGCCTTGCATGCCTGAGGCCCTGGTTCGATTCCTCAGCACCACATAAGCAAAAAGAAAAAAAGCCGGAAGTGGCGCTATGGCTCAAGTGGTAGAGCACTAGTCTTGAGCGGAAGAGCTGAGGGACAGCGCCCAGGCCCAGAGTTCAGGCCCCACAACTGGAACCCCCTAAAAAAAATAAATAAAAATAATACACTAAGCTGGGCGCTGGTGGCTCACGCCTGTCATCCTAGCTACTCAGGAAGCTGAGATCGGAGGATTACAGTTCAAAGTCAGCCCAGGCAGGAAACTCCATGAGACTCTTTTATCTCAAATAAACCACCAGAAAACCAGAAGTGGTGCTGTGGCTCAAGCAGTAGAGTGCTCGCCTTGAGCTGAAGAGCACAGGGACAGTGCCCAGGCCCAGAGTTCAAGTCCCAGAACCTACAAAAACAAAACAAAACACACTAAGCCAGTGCCAGTGGCTCATGCCTATAATCCTTGCTACTCAGGAGGCTGAGATCTGAGGATCACAGTTCAAAGCCAGCTCGAGCAGCAAAGTCCATGAGACTCTGATCTCCAATAAACCACCAGAAAACTGGAAATGGTGCTGCTGTGACTCAAGTGGTAGAGTGCTTGTCCTGAGCTGAAGAGCTCAGGGACAGTGCCCAGGCCCAGAGTTCAAGCCCCATGGGGGGGGAGGAGGGGGTTGGTGGGGGAGGGAGAAGGGAGAAGTGGGATGGGGAATTGGAACAAAGTGGTAGAGTGCTAGCCTTCAGCAAAAGAGTGTTCAGGAACAGTGCTCAGGCCCTGGCTTCAAGCCCCATGACCGACAAAAACAAAAAAACAAAAGCATCAAATTTGAGTAAAAAAGCCATGTGATAGCATGATGCCCTGAGTTCTAGACCTAATACCGAAGCATACACATGTGTTTATGTGCGCACGCACACACACACACACACACACACACACACACACACTCAAGGTTCTTTTTTATCTTTTTTGGTGCTAGTCCTAGAGTTTGATTGGACTCAGGGCCTGAGTGCTGTCCCTGAGCGTCTTTGCTCAAGGCTAGCTCTGTACCACTGAAGCTACCACTTCTGGCTTTTTGGTGGCTAATTGGAGATAATGTTTCACTGATTTTCCTGTCTGGGCTGGTTTCAAAAGGTAATCCTCAGATCTCAGCCTCGTGAGTAAACAGGATTACAGGCATGAGCCACCAGTACATGGCAAAACAAGTGTTTTTGTTTTTGTTTTTGGAAAGACAAGTGTGGGGAAGTCAGTTTCCAGGAAATCTAGCACCTACATCCCGGGCATCTTCCCTGACCCTGCCACCCACCCCAAATAAGTCTATGATTACTTTTAACTTACCTTATTGCATCTCGTTCACCTTCTAGGTATCTTTTAACTTCACCGTTATGGCACCAACTTTAATATAAATGGGAAAAAAAACATTTTTTTAAAGAGCTAGAACAAGATTGTCCTCCCTCTCAATAGCTAATAAAAGAAAAATAACCTTTAATATGTTTCCCTCCTCAAAAACACAGAGAAATGCCATATTTTCCATATATATATATATGGGTGCCATTTTAACCATCTACTCCTGTAGCACTTGGCTTTTTGAAGCCAAGGAACTTACCATCCTCCTGCTTCTCCTGAGTGCTAGAATTATAGGCATGCTCTATCATGCTAGCTTCCATCTTTTTATGTACTTATTATAATAGTGTCTTTTTCTTTTTTTCTGCCAGTCCTGGGGCTTGATAAACTCAGGGCCTGAGCTTCTTTTTTCTCAAGGCTAGCATTCTACCACTTGAGCCACAGGTACCATTTCTGGCTTTTTCTGTTTATGTGGTACTGAAGAATCAAACCCAGGGCTTCATGTATGCTAGGCAAGCACTCTACCACTGACCCACATACCCTGCCCTACACCAGTATATTTGTGTATCTTCTTTGGAGGAATGTCCAAGTCCTTTGTCCATCTTAGCTACTTAGATAAATGCTTTTCAAGTATTTTGTCCATTTTGTGGGTAGAATGGCTATATATCTTAATTCAAGTTACTAACTTGACCCAGTTGAAAGACCAATTCCTGAAGACTGTAGTTTCTCGAATATACTTTAAGTTTTAAGCATGTACTATACATAGTACATAAGCACAAGGCTGGGAATGTGGCTTAGTGGTAGAGTGCTTGTCAAGCATGAATGAAGTCCTGGGTTCCTTTTCTCAGAACTACATAAAAAGAAAAAGCCAGAAGTGGCACTGTGGCTCAAGTGGTAGAGTGCTACCCTTAAGCAAATGAAGCTCAAGGACAGTGGTCAGGCCCTGAGCTCAAGCCCCAGGGCTGGAAAAAAAAAAAAAGTTAGTGACCCCACTACCAACTCAATAAGCTGAGTGTCATTCCAATTATGCAGGAAGCAGAAATAAAAAAAGTAAGTACATAAGGAGATAAACATATGACAGTATTTTGTTCTTTCCCTGTGAATCTACTCATGTTATTCACTAGTTGGGCAAAAATCTAACCCCAAAGCCAAAAGCTTTAGCTAACAAATCTTAATTTTTTTTTTTTTTTT